CCGTCCGCCCCCCCCCTCTACCCTCCCCCTCCTGCTCCGCACCACACCTCGCCCGACAGCTGACGGCCGGCCGCGACCGACCGCGCAGCGCGCAGAGAGCAAATGAGACGCCTGACGAAATAAAATGAAAAATAAAATATGCAAGGGAGCTTAAGAAAGACTTTCTCTCGTGTTTTCCGGGTGTAAAAAATTCATGGCTTAATTGGGCACGCTTCTTCCTCGCGGGGTGGGTTGTGGAAGGGGGATGAGGGTGGGGGTAGCGGCTTAGCTAGTCCCTGCCCTGCCGCGTCGTCGGTGACCCTCATTTTAAGGATGCGAAAACTTGACGCAAATCCTAACGCCGGCGTGGTAAAAGGCGTCGGTCTCAGACGGCGGCAATCGAGAAGCAGCCCAGCAGCTGTTCCCAGGTGCCGAAGTTGTGCCGTCTCAGTCGTAAGAATTCGCGTCCGAATAAATTAAAATAAAACTGCAGAGGAAATATGCCTTGAAAGGCATCATAAATAAGTAATACAAAGGAAAACCAAGGTAAATATGCAGAAGAAATACAATTTATTTACCGGAGAGAACAAAAGATTGCTTTCAGAATACTGCAAATGGTATAGTAACGTTTTTTTAAATACAGATTTAAAATTGTTGTCGCCGTGAAACAAATGAACCTAATAGACACACATCGGTCGTACGTAAATATACAAAAACAAATAACACCTCGAACGTCACGGACACGGACCTAAACCCGCCCCCTCAGTCGGTGAGGCATGAGCCGTTTTGGCTTTCGGCGCAACAGGTTATTCAAAATGCACTTGAGAGATATTGGTCAATAAGGTGGCCCCGGGTGGTATGGAGTCATCAGCGGCTCGCCGGCCCCCAGCAGCGTGGCGTCCAGGCGAGTCTGCCACACCATCACCGCCTCCTGGGCCTCGAGGAGGGCCCCCTTGGCCAGGCGCCGGGCGTCGTCGACAGAGATCAGGGTGTGGCCCCTGCCGGTGCACGCGGCGGCAGGCACCCAGCAGTCGGAGCACCACGACCACCTGCAAGAGCGATAGGGGACCGCTGAGAGGCTGGGGTTTCCTCTTGAGCACGCTGCTCTTGCACCAGACAAAGGGACACAGCTTACCGATCACTGGCACCGGCCCGCGCTCCCTTCTGCCGTGGCTGGTAGTCGCCGCTGCCGTCCGATGACGCCGCAGGTCGCTTCTTGGCTCGGGGCATCGTGTGGTAGAAACAAGGCACCTGAAAAAAATTAAAAAATTAAGAAACTCAGAATTTTGTTGTTGAGATAGTGTGTTCCGTTTTATGCATGTCATTGTACAAATTAAAAAAAAAAACAAACACAGACACATTATAAAAACATTTGAGTCTTTCTGTATCAAGGGAAAGGTGAGTTGACAGCATGGTGCCCACCAGAAGAAAAAATTGAGGGCAGATAGAAGCCGTAAGATGAAAAACTTTCTGAGCCAAAATCTTAGCCCCCTAGCTTTTCATGAGGGAAGGGTTGGTCCCAGGGGCTTACCAATATGCACAGTCCATCAGTAGAGAGTTGAGATCACAGGGGATTGGCTGCCAACACAAACCTGATGGCAAGTTCAGCATAGCGCCTGGTTGGTAGGCAACATCTCGCCTGCAATGTACGCGTGTATTGCGGGCTGGCCTACCCCGAGTCTTGCAGGCGGTCGAGCTGCCGTAAATTGCAATTTGCAGAATACAAATCTGACATAAGGAAAATAAAAACCGGCCGTACTTTCTGGGCGATCCCTCGTCTGAAACCTATATGTATTTTCCTCTCGATTTTGCCTCTATGACGAAGATGAACCACACCTGGCATGGCCCCCTTGTGTGGTGTTTGGCCCCTCCGCCCGCCACAT